ATTTATATCGATAAATTGTTTATACGACTGACTGAATGATATTAACACTTTAATAGCCGTTCACAGAACATATGTGTGATAGCCAAAACATTGGCCGTTATTTTATTTATAACTTGATATATATTTAAAATTATATATAAAATTAAATTTGTTGTTAAATTGTTGCTTTTTGTTAATTTTTTCGTGAATGACAATAAAGGTTTTTTTTAAATTAATTTTTGAAAAATATTATTGGGCCCCTGACGACGTTTGACTGCGTACATGTGTGGCCATTAAAGTGTTAATGAATACTATTATTTTTGTATCGAATAATTTCTACTTTGAATTAATCCAAAATAAAAATAATTGAATAGTTAAAAAAGAAATGGATAAAAATGACTTAATTGTAATAATACAAAAGTCCCTAATTTTGTAACTAAATTATTTTGTAACTAAGAAGTGTACAAGTTTTTACATAATGAATAATCCAAATGAAAATAAATTAGACAAATTTTGTATTGAAATATCAACGATGATCATTTTTTAAAAATATTCAAAAGAATGGAAGTAAATTTGTAAAAAGAACAAAAAAAAAAAAAAGATAGAAAAGCGTTTAATAGGATTGAAGTGATTTTAAAGGTGAAGAAAGTTAAGGATAATACGACGTTGAAAGAAATGATCTTAGAATCGAAAGTGGAGAACAATATTATGACGTCTCTATCTAACTGTGGTGTCACCCTCTTTAAGAATGATCCTCCACCACCCTCTGGGGTTGTTCACGCTTCATGCTAATTTCATCGATCCGTCGTCAGTCGACGACGGGTTCTTCTTTTCTCCCGGTCCGTGTTTTAAGCCCCCGCCGCGTGTCTTCCTTTATGCACGGACCAAAGGATAATATCCATGGTCCTTTTGTGTTCCTGCCGCGTTATATCGCGATGCGTTACGCCGATACGCCAATGTTAAAACACATTCGAACGCATAAATATATACTTTCTATCTAAATATATATTTTATCAAATATATTATCAATAATAATTATATTTCAGAATTTTGTATAATTGATTTAATATATAAATAATTATATTATTAGAAATATTAATAATTATTATTTAAAAAAAATTACTCAATTAAAATGTTAACACATTCGCGACCGCTGACGTGAATTCACGTCTTTTCAAATTCTATTCCTGGTTGCAGCTGACGTGATTCACGTCATTTTATATTTTAAAAATTTAATAAAAATATATATATATAAATATATACATTAAAAAATTTATATATTATTTTATAATAATTATTATTTTTTATTACTATTTTATTATTACTTTATTAGTATTTTATATATATATATAAAATTTATATTTACATATTTATAAAAATTTTATTTTTTAAATTTATATTTAATTACTTAAATATAATAATTAAATATTATATTACGTGGACCGGAAAGTAGTGTCGTTTCTACAAATTTCAAATTTTGTTTATTTTTATCAAAAACCGATTGCTTTTTATCAATTTGATATTAAAAATTTGCATACTAGATGAAGAAAGGTTGTTGATAACGAGGTTGATTATGTTATTGACTAAAAATATAAATTTATTAGAAATTTTCTCTTTTGAATTTAAGGTTAGAAAGCGACGTTACTTTCCAGTCCACCTAATATATTATATATTATTATATTATTTTAATATATGTAATATTAAAAATAATATTTAAATATAACTTTCAAATAATTATATTTTATTATTTAAATATAAATTTAAACTTATATATATATAGAGTACATGTAAAAATTATTGTTTTTTCAAAATTTTATTATTTTTGCCGGTACTTAGTATAAAAAACGGAAACAATATGCCGACTACGAATGTGTTAATATAAAAACATTGGTACACTACGTGTGTGTATATTATAAAATAATTTAAAAGCTAAAAAAAAAACAAATGTGATTAGAGAAATAAAAATGAAAAATAATAATTATGGGATTATTATAGATATTAGAGAACGATATGATATGGTGACGTATAAAGTTTCTAAAGCCATCATATCGAAAAAGTCTATGACAGAACTTGGCGACAAAACGTGTCTCGTACGAATGAATGAAAAAAAAAAAAAAAGAAAAAAAAACGTCGCGGTTAAGAAAGAAGGGCCCTTTGCGATAAAAGCTGAACGGGCCTAATAAAAAAAAAGAAAGAAAGAAAGAGAGAGACTGTCAGTCAAACGACAAAATCCGGCTTTCCATTTGACATCGAGTGTCGCCATACTATTTGACCGCATTTTGATTGACGTATACCGCAAATATAACGCGTTCCTCTAGATAGATTTCTGACGTGTGTCAACCCTGTTAGGTTTCTTCGTTCTCCCTTATCCTATACCAGGGCCCTTTAACGATTATTGGCTACCGCTTAAAAATTCATCCTCACAATGCATTTTATTGTTGTGATATATTCTTTTGATGAAAAAGACGAGTACCTCTACTTTACTTTTGAAAAAAAAAAAAAAAGAAGAAAAAACTTGACGAAACTTCTAACTTATGACGGTTATTTTTTTTCTGTTTTTTATTCTTTTTTTCTTTTTCATCGCGTTAAGTGGGACCACTTCGTTCGATCGTACGCGTTGTTTTGTCATTTATTACGTTTGACGTTAGTAAGGATTTTCTTTTTTTTTTCATTCTGCTTATTGTTCGAACAATTAAATTGTTTGTCCTGGAAATGACTTATCCCACACAGTTTTTGCATAATTACTTTTTTAACATTTAATTTACATAATTCATATTAAAATCTCTAGCAAGTTAAACACACACAAAACAAAAAATCAAAAAAGAAATATAATACCAATTTTGTTATTTGATTTCTATTTGATAGTTCATGTTTAAGAAATAATATGAAACATTAGAGGATACTTCGAAGGTAAGAAGAATAAAGCGTTCCGATGATGTCTTTTCACGTAGGTATGTTTGTGACGTAACTGGTATTAGTGTATGTGTCATTCGTTCGAAAAAAAAAAACAGAAAAGGGGAATGACGACAAGGGTGTGGATGATAGAGAGGGGTTGAGGGGGAGGAAAGAGGGGTTAGGAAAGAGTAGGAGGAGCCGACGACACCACTGCTACTCGTGGGTCCGAGATGTCAGCTCGTTTCAACGTTGTGGACCCCTGACACCAAGTCTAACAAACCCCAGAGAACGAAAATATCCTGTGGCCAATCTCACTCGTTGAAATGTTCTTCTCTATCTTTTTCTCTTTTTTTTTTGTTTTTTTTTCTTTTTCTATTTTTATCCTATATATGTGTGTGTATGAGTCTTCTTGGTTATCTTGTTGAATTCGAATGTAAAGAGAAAGATAAGAATTTCATTATTGCAACGGTAAAAAATGTAATAATGTAAAAACAAACTGAAAAAGAATAAAATAAAAAAACAAGACAATTAAAGAATGAATTTTAAAGAAATAAGGTGGAGAAGGTAAAAAAAAGGGATGAGAAAAAATAAAGAGGAGTGCGAGAAAATAAATTGTAGGGAACTATCGTCGCCAGGAAGAAAATATATTCCTCTCTCTCTCTCTCTCTCTCTCTCTCTCTCTCTCTCTCTCTCTTTGTCTTGCTTTCTTTCTTTCTTCTTACTCTCGTTGAATTCTTTCACGATTTCTTCGAGATTTATGCGAGCTGCAACTGACGTGAACTACGAAAAGCGATGGAACTTGCTGCGTGAGGAAAGAAACGAGAAGAAGAAGAAGAAGTAGAAGAAGTAGAAGTAGAATAAGAGAAAAGGTTCGAGAAAAGAGGAAAAAAAAGATGAAAGAAAGAAGTTGAACAAGGGTGGCAAGAGGGATAGACAAAAAGAAAAGAAAAGTTGTAGAAAAGAGAAAACAAGAGAAAGAGAGAGAGAGAGAGAGAGGGAAGGGGTGAAAGAGTAAAATAAAGAAGGTGCTTTAATCGGGATTCGGTAAATCCGAGCACACAGCTTACCCGCATCAGGTTCCGTTTTATCCATTGGGTTTCACGCTGACTTCCAAATTATCAGGTTAAAGAGTTGAAAATCTTGAGTAGTTTTAATCGATAGTATATTATATATCGCTAAATATTTTATACGTCATAATATTTAATGGAACACTGATTTGCATCAAGCTTTTACCATGTCGCAAGGGATAAAAATGTAAATGATAAAGAAAAATCGAATCTCAGTAAATTAGCTAATTCCCTGTGCTCTTTCTCTCTACCTTCTGGTATATACATATATAATATAAATATATAGACATTTATATACACATATATATATATAATCAGATGACGTATTTCAGTAAATTAGCCAAATCCCTGTGCAATATCACTGTTTGCGGCGCATCAATTCGCGAAAAGTAAGAACTTGCAGTATGCGAGTATTGGAATAGTCTCTTTTAGGTGCATAAGACTTACACATATATATTTTAGTATATAGACATTTATATATATATATAATAAGTTCACATATCAAGCATCTAACAGGCAACGTAACCTAACGCTTTACACCCAATCGCAAGTGGCGCAGACGCGCGAGTGCGTACTTACGTTGGCAGAAGCCAAAGTCCCCTTGGAGTGGCGCGAGACGGATATAATTGAAGGCGGAGGTAATTAACTCCCTCGTGGTACACACATCGGCAAGCGCTCACCGCATCGTTTTAATTACCGCTCTCTCGTCGCATTTCATCGGGCAGAAGCGCTTCCACCCCCTCCGCCCCACCCCCGCCCTCCTCCTTCCTCCTTCCTACATTTCCTACATCCACCTTCTCCTTCTCATTCCTCCTACACCTGTCCCTTCGTTCGACAGTTCCACCCTCACCCCTTCTTCTCCTCCTCTTCTTCCACGACCTTCGATAAATTCTATCTTTACCCAACAACACCCCCCTACCACTTACTGTTACCCTACTCTTTCAGTTGCTTCGATATTTCAATATATATATGTCAATTCAATTGTGTGTTTGTTATATTTATTATTATTAAAATGATGATTTTCTTTTCTTATTAATGAATGCCTGTTTTATTTCTCAGGTTTCGTCAATCAACAGGGTATTGAGAAATTTGGCAGCGCAAAAGGAACAAAGGCAACAACAACAACAACAGCAACAGGGTGTTGGTGGTGTTGGCGTTGGCGTTGGTGTCGGAGTTGGTGCTGGTAGTCCTGCCGAGAGTGTTTACGACAAGCTCAGGCTACTGAACGGACAGACCACTGGTTGGCCAAGACCTAATCCTTGGTGAGTTATCGTATGTTTCTTCTTTAAAACAAATCATCTTTCATTTTTTTCAATTGTCAATTATTATTCGTTGCTTATTCATTATTTTAATATGCATAATGTTTGTTGTTAAACATTTTAAAACGAGAAAATTTATTACATCCAATTGTATGTTTAAAGTATATGATATTCTTTGAAGTAGTAAAGAAAGCAAGGAAGGGGTTCAAGAAAATAAAGAAGATTCGATTTTTAAGGTATCCGTCGGGCGCGGGAAGCCCTTTTCCAAGTCTTCAGCCTAGTCTGAGTCCGAGCCATTGCACAGCGCTACCGCCTGATCCCGCCGATATTCTCCACTCCAAAAAGGGTGAGTCTTCTTTCTCCTTCTTTTTTTATTCTTTTCTTTTTTTTTCTTTCTTCTTCCTCTCTTTCGTTTCGTTATCTTACATTTTTTTCTTCTTTTTCCTTTTCAACGTTGTATTTTTAGAAATAATCGCATCTTACCTATCCGATATCATTTCGTTAACACGAGCATTTATTTATACTTCAAACAATTTTATTTTACATCAACAAGAAATGTTCTTATGACATCTTCAAAAAGAATTGTTATTCTAATAAATAAAAACATTCAATTATTATTATTATAATGAATTAGACAATAAAAAAAGAAAAAAATTCATCATTCGATGAGGAATAATTTAAACATCAGATTGTAGATTTTTTTTCCAAGGATTGGGTCGATTTTCGTCCACCAAGTAATTTGTTGCACCACCTACATATTTTCATATACGTACAAACACACATACACATCCCACATATATGTAATACATATGTACGTACATGGTAAATGGGTAAATACGAGAGGCGGGAAAGTAGGCGGGAAAGGGTCGTGCCGCGTATATATGRAAGAGCGTTTTAATTAATTAATCTCCCAGCCGAAACAATACTAATATCAATGTAATTCCGTTTGGTGGTTGTTCCGCGGCGGTTTACCGCATGCGTGTGCAGCGCTTTTCCGGTAATAATTGTAACGTTTAAACACGGAATAAGGGGGTGCGGAAAGAGAACCCAGAGAAAGAGAAAGAGAACGAGAGAGAGAGAGAGAGAGAAAGAGAGACACAAGTAAAGAGTAGGAAAAGGGGATGAGGAGAGGAAGGGGGTTGGTGGGGGAAGGAGAGGTGAGAGGACTACAGGGTGAGTATAGACAAACGTGGTTACGCTCGACCAACCGACCGTCCGACCGACGCGAAACTACAACCCCTTGTACCATCTCACCTACCCAGTCAACCACCCACTCTCACCACTCACCACTCACCACCYCTCTTTCTCTCTCTCTCTTTCTCTTTCTCTCTGTATTTTCTATTCCCCTTTTCGTCGCGCCTACGTTCCCTTTTGCCGTGACATCAAACGCACGATTTCTCTCTCACTATTTTTCCTCACGGTATGTCGTACAACAAAACGTATAAAGAGAGAAAGGATAGTGAGAGAGAATTGTAATTCATCGATCAGGTGAAAATCACGCGTGTGTCTATTATTTTGATATATTATGTTGTTCAGAATTTGTTTCATATATAAACATATTTGTTTTTTTGTGTCTTGAAAATTAATCCTTTTTTTTTTATTAATATTTAAACAATACTATATATAGTATATTATTTTTTTCTCTAAACAAATATATCTGATAATTAATTTAATCGTGACTTTAGATGCATCAATAATACGTCATTAAATTGATTTATTTGTAATTATTTTGGAAAGTAATCTTTATACCGTGTTGAAGAAAAATAAGAATATTTTTGTCTTGTATATTTTGTTGTTTTTTTGATTTCCTTTCTTTTCTCTTTTTTTCGGAGCAAATATATAGGAACACCAACGGAATGGCAAAGACAGGTCCTCTGATCTTCAGCTAGAACATCATTTCGTATTCCACGTTGGTAGGAAGGGGGCACAATCAAATATGGTAACTGTTGCGAACGTTCAACCACACGCGGGCCCCCGGGGCCGGATTATCCGTAGATTTGAGCGCGGGGGTGCGTTTCCTACCGTTTATAGGATAACTCGTGTCAGGAGGGTTGTTTCTCTCTTCTGAACATGGTATACATATATGTATATATACATATATATATTTCTCTCTCTCTCTCTCTCTCTCTCTCTCTCTTTCTCGACTGTTCTCGATAGATGTTATCGAGAGAGAGAGAGAGAGAGAGAGAGAGAGAGAGAGAGAGATAGAGGACCCAACCATGCCTCCGGGTAACAACCATACTCTATTCCAACCCTTCGTACGAAAGCAAAGCGAAAGCAGATTACAACGCAATCATCGCACCACCTCTAGGCTCTTCTTTCGATTTCAAATACACACGTATAAATGTATGTATATATATATATATATATATATATACATATATAGTCTTATACGATCTTCGTATGATCATCCCACTTGCAACCCCTTCTTTATCTCCTGCAAAAGAAAATAACTATATAAATAAATATATCGGTTTGTACGAAGAATATTTCGTAGAGGTTTAGAAATTATATAAATTCGTTTGATAATTTTGATACGTTACATATATTTTACAACGATCAATAGAAATTTTTCCTAATCCGTAATTGTACGATTGCCCTAATAATTTTGTTGCTGATTTGAAGGAGCAAATTGTACGTAGATTCAAAATTTCAATCAACAACGATATTTTTCTTTAGCAAATCAAATTCGCGTATCCGAATTTATATAAATGTGTGTATAAACTATACTTCAGATAATAAATAACTAAAAAAATCTAGTGAGACGTGAAGACTAGAAGATGGTAGTCTTTTGGTAACAAAATCGCAATTCTCGTCAACGTCGTCAACGTCGTCGTCGTTGTTGACGTCATCATCGTCACTGGGGTGTCTGGTGAGACCGATCCACAATGCGTCCCAGGGATGCATTGTGCCGGTTTGCACGAGACGAGACGATGCAACGGCATGTAGAAGAATTCCACGCGAGGGAAAGAGAAAGAGAGAGATAGAAAGAGAGAGAGAGGGTGCTGAGGACAGAATATAAAAAGAAAAAAAAAGAGAGAGAGAGAAAATTCAGCGAACGTGGAAGAAGAAAGAAGAGTGGTGGGTGGGAAAGGGTTGGTTAGGTGGGGGGTTGGAAGTTGGATTGGGAAGTTTTGAGGGGGGGAAGGGGGAAAGTAAAGGAGGAGCAGAAGAGAAGGTTCCGCGCGTTGATCGAAACGAAAAAAAGGGGTTCGGGTCGTGCGACCATTGTTTTTTCACCTTCCAAACCCCGCACGGACGCCACGATGGTGAATGAAGAGAGGAAAAAAAAGAGAAAAAAAAAAGAAAAAAGAGGACACGAGTCCGGAATTCCTTCCTAGGATTTCAATATCGCTGACATGCTCTACCCATGCAACCTCCAGTACTAACTCTTCCTCTTGTTCCTCTTCTTTCTCATTCTTGGTCCACCATTTTCTCATAGTCTTCTCAATCCTTTCCCCGATCTTTCATTTTATCTTAGAGCATGGATCATAAAAATTATGGTTAATAAAATTTATTTAACATTTTATTGAAAGATAAATAATAATTTGAGATTGTTTCAATATATTATCAATAATTTATCAATTAATATATAATTAATATTATGAATATTATCATTATATTCAGTTTTTGTTTTGATTCATAACTTAATTGTTTAGGATTAAATTATATCCCTCTTATTTATTTTTAATTTACTATTACTGATTATATTTTATTATATTATTAATTAATAATATAATATTTACACACACACACACACACTTATTATTATATATTATAAATATTATATTATAATAATATAATATTTAAATAAAATATAAAAATTATATAATAAATATTAAAATATAAAATATTAAAAAATATTAATATTAAAATAAAATATAAATATTATATTATAATAATATAATATATTTATACTTATTTTATTATTTCGTTAATTTGAGTTTAGTTGTGGCATCTTTTAGAGTTTACGCTTTTAATATTAAGATTATTAAAATAATATTATTCTTAATCTTTCATTCAATATCGCAACTAAATATATATGTATATACATATTTATCTTACATATTAATCAAAACAAAAACTAAATAAAATAATATAAATTCGATAGGAGGATTTAGTTGAAAAGATTGTCGTATTCGAAAGGCACATCGCCATTTCGTAAAATACTTCGTCCTTCGATAGCTGCTACCTACCCTCTTCTCTCTTTCATTCGTTTCTCCCACCGCCATCATCCTATATATATATATATATATATATATATATATTTATATATATAGAAAACGTTCGCTCCGTTGCAGCGTATTTGCCGATCGCTAGCTGAGATACAAAGGTAAAACAATATAATGGCCGCCCGCTGTGTTCGCTGCTATGGGATTCAGGGTGTACTGAGAGCATTATTGTCGACCTCTTTATCTGCTGCACCCGATCTCCGTCCATGTTTTTTTTCTTCTCTCTCTCTCTCACTCTTTTATTTTTTACTCTCTTTACTTTACCTCGCATTTCTCTCTACCCTCCTCTCTCTTTCTCTTTATCTTTATCTATCTCTTTCTCTTTTTTTTTCTTTTCTATTCTAGGTACACACATACACACACGTTATATAAAACACACACACACACACATTCGTAACGATGCGAAAGCTTTTATCGTCGGCCAGGACAATGCACACTGTCGTCGTCGTCATCGTCGTCGTCGTCGTCGTCGTCGTCGTCGTCGTCGTCGTCGTCATCGTCGTCAGATTCTTTCCTTGTCAAGGAACTTTGGAACGTTGTTCTTGTTAGGTAGGTAAGCTTTAGCGTTATGATCATCTTCGAAACGGGAATCTTTCGACCAGTGAAATAAAAAAAAAAAAGAAAACAAAAAACTAAAAATAAAAGAACCTAGAGCAAAAAAGAGTAAGAGAAAGAAAAAGAGAGAGAGAGAGAGAGAGAGAACGTACGAGTATTAATGGTTCTTCGATATATCTGGTACGTGTACGCGTTTTTCTGTGCACTATATACCGATAAACGTTTTCCCGTCGGAAGGTTTATATAGATAGAGGAGACCCTTCGAAAGAGTTCACCTCATGTGTATATCCTGTAGCAACGACGTCGGGTAAATGGATGCACCACGTGTAAGACCATGACGATACTTCCATGATGACTTTTGAAAGCAGAAAAGAAAGCATTGCCTTGCCAATAGAATCTCTCTCTCTCTCTCTCTCTCTCTCTTTCTCTCTCTCTCTCTCTATCTATCTATCTCTCTTTTTCTATTTCTTTTTCTTCATTTTGACTTTCTAGTAAGCATACGTGATACGTAATATACATATGTACAAGCATATAATACGTTAGGAAAGAGAACATACAA